GCCCCTAAACTTACAGTTTTTAAAAGCACTTTAGCAGAGTATTGAGACCTTAATCACCTATTTGCTGACCATGTGAACCTGCCCAATCATTTGGGTTACTGTGGATGAAATAAACACATTCGAGTTGTCTCAAGAAACATGAAGAGGCTACAAATACAAGAGCCCAGCTAAGAGTCAACATCCCAGCTTGGGAAGTGCACAGTCCCCCCGCAGCTGTGGGGTTGGCTAGCCTGGGGAACTCTACACAGAGGTTCTCAAGTTGCTACCTCTACCCATAGTGCTCTAGTGCTTGCTTACCCCCATCTCTGAGCTAGCTTTCCACCTGACTCCTGCTTCTTTTGTTTCTACAGCCACAATCATCTTCCGGCAAGACCACCTCTTAGTTGACTTTCTCCTATGAACCTTGAAGAAGAGAATCTGATTGGCCAGATCATCTTCCCAAACCAGCAAGTAAGGGGTCTTAGACCAGCGGAAGCCTTGGCTGCACTTGGATCAGATGTCCTCCTGTGGCCCAATCAGCTAGGGATAAGGGGGAACTGCCCGTCCATAGCCCCTCAGTGCAGAGACCACTGGTGGGGCCAGTTTTCCTATAGGACTTTGGGCCGGCAAATACTGTAATGGACATTTCAAAGGAATCTAAGAAAAAGATTCAGAGATGGAACCAAGAGGTGCTTTAAAGTACTTTTACAGCATACGCACACACAAATATTGAAAAGCCCTAATGACCATCAATAAAGGATAAATTCTGGGCTGCCTGGGTATGCGACAACGAGCAGCAAATGCAAGGACTTTTAAGGATATTGAAGAACACGGGGAAATGCTCACAAAATCATATTAAATTAAAAAGCAGACCATAAAACTGTATGTACAGTATGATCAGAAGTCTATAAGAAAAAAACCTGCACTTAGTTTATTTTTTAATCTGTAAGGGAGAGTTAATGGGTAGCGGTGCGATGACTGGTGATTTTTTTTTTCTTTTTTTTTTTTCAACGTTTATTTATTTTTGGGACAGAGAGAGACAGAGCATGAACGGGGGAGGGGCAGAGAGAGAGGGAGACACAGAATCGGAAACAGGCTCCAGGCTCTGAGCCATCAGCCCAGAGCCTGCCGCGGGGCTCGAACTCACGGACCGCGAGATCGTGACCTGGCTGAAGTCGGACGCTTAACCGACTGCGCCACCCAGGCGCCCCGATGACTGGTGATTTAAATGCCCCCGATTTGGTCTTGTAGCCCTCAAACACTGCGTAAAGAACAGATACAGTGTTTATAATGAGGGAAAATACTAAGTCTTTGCTAAAGCTCACGTTTCTCGAATTTAACTGGGCTCTCTGTCTCCTCTCCGCCGGCTCTCGGCCCAGGAGTCCCAGGCCCCGCCTGCCCCGCGCAGTTAGGGGGGCTGTCCCGCCCGGACCCAGCTCCTTCCACTCGGCCCTCTTCGCCTCTCCCCTTCTCGGGGCTCGAAAAACGTCACTTTTCTGGACCATCCGCGGTCTTTCCCCCCTCGCTGCTTTTCTAACCTGAAAAGGCAGGCGCGGAGGGCTGGTGGCTCGGCTCGCGGCGCCAGCGCGCCCCCGCTCGGTCGGCCTCCCGCCCCGCCCCGCCCCGCCCCGCCCGCTTCCGCCTTCCGGCCCCGGACTCTGCCCCGCGAGCGTGTGCCCTGGCAGCTATGGCTCCGCTCCGCTTCTCGGCCAACGTGTCGTGGCTGTTCCCCGAGCTCCCCGGCCTCCCCGCGCGGCTTCGGGCGGCGGGCAGCTCGGGCTTCGAGGCCGCCGAGGTCGCCTGGCCGTACTCGGAGTCGCCCGAGGCGCTGGCGCGCGCGGCGCGGGAAGCGGGCCTGCGGCTGGTGCTGATCAACACGCCCCCCGGTGCGCCGCGGGGCCGAACCGGGGCGGCGGTCGGGGGGGACGGGGAGCGCTGGGGACGCTAGCCGCAGCTGACGCCCGTTCTCTCCTCAGGGGACCGAGAGAAAGGGGAGATGGGGCTGGGGGCCGTTCCCGGGAGGCAAGCGGCCTTCCGAGAGGGGCTGGAGCAGGCGGTGCTGTACGCCAAGGCTCTGGGCTGTCCCAGGTATCCTACGCTCTTCTCCTCCACCCCCTCGCCTTCTTGCCCTGTCTCCTCCCAGACCCTGCCCCACGTTTGGGGTCTGGGAGAACAGGACGCCAGGTCAGAGAGCTCGGAGTCCGAGCGCACTGGCCTTTCCACTCCTTCAGTCCTGGTCCTTTGTCAGTTGCCTTTGGATATTATCTGTCGTGTGCGGTTCTCCTGTTTGCTACTCTTTCATCCTGGGATCCTGTGCTGGGGGCTGTCTGACCAGGGAGGTAGCCAGGTAAACATACAGAGATCCAGTTGAGGAAGGGTCAGTTCATGGGAGCTGTGGGAGCAGAGTAGGCATCTGTCTGGGATCAGAGGAAGCTTCTTACAAGTAGTGATGTTGAACAGGGTCTTGATGGAAGGAGCACTGGAGGCGAGGATGCAGCAGAGAGAGACCAGGGAAGGCTTCGTTTGCTCAGCAGAATTCCTAAGGCTGGAAATGTGACCTTTTGGAGTTGAGTGTGGCCGAGAAAGATCAGGTGGTAACAGGAGGAGGTAGAAGGCACACCATGGGGTTGATCAAATAAACACATCCCATCGAGTGCAAATGGGCTGAAGTGGAACTGGAAACAGGTCATTACTGGCGAGTGGTGGGGGCAGAAAGCAGATGGGAAGAATCTAAGGAGCAGATGCAGGAAGTGGAGACAAGCAGCATGGAATACTCATGGGAAAGGGTCAAAATAATTTCTAGAAAGGGAGGCTGACACATGTTTACAGCCTGAGGAGAGGAGCACTGGAAAGAAGATGGACAGGGAGAGCCGAGTGAGAGGTCTCTGAAGCAGGAAGATGGGGTGTCTCTCAGAAGGTATCTGGGGAAGGGCACGGCCTCAGGCTGACCATGGAATGTGAGGGTGCCGGAGGGCATCACTGCCAGGTGATAGATCATCAGCAGGGGAGATGGGGGGAAGGCAGCTGGAGGAGATGCCCACAGGGAGCCAAAGGAGGGCCCTGCTTCCAGGACGGACTCCCCAGCCCCCACCAGTGCTGTCTCCCCCCAGGATTCACCTGATGGCTGGCCGAGTGCCCCAGGGTGCTGACCGAGCAGCAGTCAGGAGTGAAATGGAGACAGTTTTTCTGGAGAACCTGAGGCACGCGGCTGGGGTTTTGGCTCAGGTGAGACCAAGAACAAACGGACACACAATGCTTACACGAATGCCCATGTGTGCAGAGGGGGCACAAGGCTGGGCACTAGCCCAGCTCACAGGGAACAGGGAGGGGCTTCACCAGTGACTGACTGATGGGACACGGGTCCACCATGATGCTAGGAGAGCCTCGTGGGACTGCTGGAGCCCATCAATACCCGCAGCACTGACCCTCAGTACTTCCTGGACACGCCCCAACAGGGTAGGACTGCAGCCCTGTGCCCCCTCCAGTCCCGTGTGATCCTTGTGCTCTCCTTGTGTCTCACGGCCCCCTCCCCGCTTTCTCTCCCAGCGGCAGCCATCTTACAGAAGGTCGGAAGACCCAACCTCCAGTTACAGATGGTGAGTGGAAGAAAGGGAGTGCTTCACAGAAGGCCCGTGTTCTCCACATCTGGGAAGAACGGGGTGAGGGAAAGGGCCCTGCAGGGCCCCTGACTGTAGTAATCTCTACGCAGGACATATTCCACTGGCAGATCATGGATGGCAACCTGACAGGAAACATCCGGGAGTTCCTACCCCTTGTTGGTGAGAGGGGTCTCTTGGCTCCTTGTCGTCTGCTGCGTTACTCCCTCTATCCTCCCACCCCTTCAGACCCTCGCATCTGTCCCTCTGGCCCCAGCTGGAGCATGGGCCCCACATCTGCCCACATCTGTCTTCAGGGCACGTGCAGGTGGCACAGGTCCCGGGCCGGGGGGAACCTGACAGCCCTGGAGAGCTGAACTTCCCCTATCTATTCCAGCTGCTGGAGGATGAAGGCTACAAGGGCTTTGTGGGCTGCGAGTACCAGCCTCAAGGTGAGGGGGTGCTGGGGCTCCAGGCCTAGGGCTGGGGAACGGAGCTCTGAGGGATAGGTAGCAGACATGGCTGTTTTTCTCCCCACGGGTCGAGATGCCACGGCCTCCCTCTCTCCTCAGGAGACACGGCAGAGGGCCTGAACTGGCTTCGTTCCTACTGGGATAGGCGGGGCCGCCCACAGGCTGGCCAGTGAGGTCCTGCCCGGCACCCACCTGCCTCTGTGGGACAGTGCACCAAGCATCCCAAATCTCCTGAATTAAAAGACCACCTGCTGAACGTTTTCCTCTGTGTGTTATTGGGTGGGTGGAGGACACACGGTGTCTAAACTTCTGTCTCCCTGGGTTACTTCCCTCCTGTTGAGAAGGGACGTACAGCTCACACTCAAGTCCTCCAGTCTGTTGTGCCAGTGTCGCTGTGGAGATGGGGGTTTTCGAGCCCACCTCTTCATTAACACAACAGAAACCACGGGTCCGAGAGCAGTGGGGCTTGCCTGTGGTCACAGGGGCTTCAGAAGCAGAGCTGGGATGGGAACCAAGTTGTTGTTATCTCAACAACAATGTTCGGCGATGATGTTCACGTGGGAAATGAAGACCAGAGGGCTCAAAATGCTCAAAATGCAGGGAGGCTGAAAGCAATCAAAGACTTGGGAGGCAGCATTCAGGCAGAGGAGCTCTCAGGGGTGAGTGCTTGGCACCTGGTGTGAATTCCTGGGACTCCACCAGGGCAGCAGGCAGGTGGAGTCCCTTTCTGGGGAGGGTCCAGGGGCCTGAGAGGAGATGGGCACCTCAGGGAACTGACCTGACCCTCTGGAGCCCTGGGCAGGTCACCCTGGCAGGTGCTCAGCAGGGCAGCTCCTACTGCTAGGCTGGGACTCAGGCCCCTGAGATCTAGTCACAAAGCCTTCGGTGTCCGTCAGTGTCTGGGCCCAGAAGGGCTGGTCAGTCCTGCTTCAAGTGGACAGTCTCCCAGATCCATGGTTTAAGGATGACATTCACTGGTCTGGGCCTCACAGGAGGCGGGTCCAGAGGGTGAAGCAAGCTGTGTTGATGACAGACTCTAGGTGGTGGTAGGTGGAGACCAGCTGGGCAGGAGGGCTCTCACTGTCCTGGGGCTGCACCGGGAAGGGCTCTCGGAAAACCACTGTCAGAGACTGTGGGGAACATGGTGGGGGTGCCATGGTGAGTGGAGGGCAGAGTGGGTACCGGGGGCAGGGCTCCCCAGCCTCAGCAGGCTCTGGGCAGATCCTCCCACTGGGCTGACACAAAGCCCCTCCCCCCTGTGCTCACCGTCTTTCCCAAGTGGGAATCCAGAAACACCAGCACAAAACAGTCTGTGAACTTCTGATTCAGCACAACCTGCAATGAAAGACAAAGTGACGTGGGGAGTGAGGTCTGTCTCACCTGAGGCAGCATCCCTCTTCCTCGAGGGCATTCTGGAAGTGGGACCCATTTGAGGAAGGCCTGCGTCCATCACCAAACCTGCGCCCGCCCGCATTCCACGGTCACCCAGGACCTTGTCTCTAAACTGAACCTCAGTCCTCGTCCTCACTGACTCCCAGTCAGCCTGACCAGAAGTCTGTTTCAGAGGTCATCTACCGAGAGGTCATCTACCGAGAGGCACAAAGCCGAAGTATATCAATGAAGGAGAGTTCTCTACACTTGACATGACCCTTCCTTGCCTCCTGTCCTGGGTCTCGTATCTCTTTGACCTCCCCTGGGACTTACGTCTGTCTGTCCCTATGCTCAGCTCTGCAATCTCTTCCACATGATTCCTTCTACTCCCAGGCTTCAGTTCATGTAGATGCTGCCCAGGTCTCCCTCCTGGGCTCCAGTTCCTGGCATCCATATACCTTCTAGAATATGGTCCTGGGAGGGCCTCACGACTTCAGACTCCACTTGTCACCCGTCCCCCAAGGCTGCTCCTGCTTCAGCGCTCCCACCACCCACAGAAGCACCCCATCTGCTCACACCCCCTGCACAACTGCAGCTAGACCAACTCACGTCCATATCCAAAGATGCCCCTTCCCACCCTGAAACTACCCTTCTCCACAAGCAGGGTTGCAGGACCCCTCTCTACAGACCAACTCCTACTTTTGAAGCCCTCTTCTGCACATCTCCTCCCCAGAACCACTGCTTTTGTCAGGCCCACCTCTTCAGTCTCTTAATTCCCATGCTCTCGTGAACCCTTTTCTACCTGGCCCAGGCAGTGCTTTCAGTCTCTCACATGCCCCTGGGTATCGGGCTAGGAGGCACGTTCTGAGTCTGGAGTGGGGCCTGAGAGTTTGCATTCTGGCAAGCTCCCAGGTGCCACTGCTGCTGCCGGCCTGAGGACCACACTTTGGGTAACGGGGCTTTAAAGCTCCAGAGGTCCTTTCTGGGATTCCTGGCCCCAAGACCAACCACTGGTGAAGTTCCAGAGCTTGGCCCTCGGGATCTCTAGCCAAAGGTTTGTGTTTTTGTGAGCTTTTGAGGACAGAGCTCTAGGCTGTTCTCACGAATCCCATGTTGAGGGTCAAGTGCTCGAAGGGTTTTACATGGATCCGGGTAGTCCCATTTCATCTAGGCCTCTTTCCAGAGCAGACCTTGTTCAGGCAGGCTGGGGCTCCTTCAGGGGGACACCTGTCATCTCTCTGATGAGGACTTCCGCTGTGTCCCCTTTCAGGGGAGGATCAGGGAGACTTACCAGGTACTGAGTTCCCAAGTCTGGGCTCTGGAAATGGCGACAGCTCTGAGGAAAACGGCTTAGGAGAACCTTGATCAGGCTCTGGTACCAGGAGACCGTCATAGACAGGAAGCAGTCCTAGGGGAAGGTCCATGGGCCTGGATCTGCTGTCCCAGAGCCACCTGAGACCTCTGTACCCTCTACCCTGGCTGTTGGTAGGATTCCTAGTATCCAAACCAGCCCCTTCTAGAATCCACAGCTGCTTACCAGCTGGGGGTCAATGTCCCCGATGGATTTGGCATGGACTGCTTCCAGTAGCTCCTCCAGCTCAGCCAGGGCCAGGCGCCCCCCTAGCCGTAGCCGGTCAGGCCCTGGAGGCTCCAGCAGAAAGAGGCGCTTCCAGAGGGTGTCCCGGCGGCAGTGCCCTCCAGCCAGCCGGACCAGCTGAGCCAGCCGTGCCCGTGCCACGCCCACCTCCGTAGCCAATGGGGGGAACAGGGGAGCTGGTCCAGAGGCCAGGCCAAGCTCTGAGGCCTCCCCGGGGCTACCAGCTGAGCTCCCGGGAGTTTCCGGCTCAGGGGGCAGCCTGGGTGGCTTCCGGAACCGGCGCATGTCGGCAGTGAGCCTGGGGAAGAGCTCTCGTTGGCTGGTGAGCACCACGAAGAACTGCAGCCTGGGGGGCGGGAGGGGTAGGAATGTGGTGATTGAAACAGGAGACGCTCAGAGCAAGGGCACAGGGGAGCTGGACAACGAGCACAGTCAAGGTGGGGGAGTCTGCTGACCGCAGAACGTGCCGCTCAGCTTCTCCTTGCTCTTCAAAGGGTGCAGCACAGTGACACACAAGCAGAGACACATCAAAGTCATCCTGGTGACGAAGTCCCTCAGAGTCCAGGTAGGAGCCAGAGCTGTACAGTGAGGGTGGGTGAGATGCCAACACTGAGGTTCTAATGAAGCCAACCCCCTCCCTCCTGCTCGAGACTCTGTCTCCCTACTGCCAGGATGGCCTCGACCTCAGCTTCACCAGATCACATGCTGGTGCCCCCTTGCCACTCTACCTGTGCCACGCTGATACCAGGGCATATTCGTTATGTTCTGGGCCTCCTGGCCGCGCCATCCGCAATGGCTTCATGTGGTAGGAGCTGGCATGGTCAGCCACGTAGTTATACAGCTGGTGGGCAGCAATGAGCGGTGTGGAAAGCTCCAGGGTCCCTGAGGGGCAAGTTACAGGAGATGCTGAGCCTGGGACAGACACACTGCATGGGTGGGGCAGGAGGTTAGAAGTCCCTAAGGCTCTGATCGACAAGTGGCCTGGCTGTTTTTCTGGGGAGCTCCTGTGGAACATCAAGATGAGACAAAAGTGGCTCGGGAGAGACAGAGGGCAGGGTACACATGACACAGGATCTAAACTTTGATATGAAACAGCGTGAAGAAGATAAAGACACAAACCAGACACATGGGGACAGGGTCCAAGTGACCTGAGGCGATTAACAATACAGGACAGGAGGTGCAGAGACTAGGTCTGGCCCCAGGAAGTGGTCCCATCGGCCCTGGCTTGGAGACACCCTGTGGTCTATTTCTGGTTCACTGGCTTGCCCTTGGGCACAGACCTTGGTAAATGTGATTACGACCAAAGTGGGGCCCGTCAGGGTGGTGGGCCAGGAAGTGTCGCAGGAAGGTGGTGAGGTGGTAGCCATGTCGCAGCACTAGGTGGGCGCCCAGGACGTGTTGGTGCACCAGGCGCAGGTGGAAGTCGTAGCTGAATGAGTGCACGTGCATCAGGTCCCGCACCTTGTCACATTCCTCAGTGAACAGCATGGACAGCTGGGGAGGTGGCGGCAGGGGACTGGGTCAGGATACAGCACACGGCCCAGCACATTCCCATTTCTCTCCCTCTTCCATGGGAAGAGGAAGTTCAAGATTCACCCTGTTGCTGTGGGCCTGGGGGAACCCCGTCTGCCAGAGTAACTTCTATGGGGAGCCCTCCTCATTACGTCCCGTTTCATACAGTATCGTGACTCTGTTGACGTGAAACCACGACCATTTTGATAGATGGGCCTTTTCCCTCTATCCCAGATTCCAATAAAGTCTGAGGCAGATTCACTGATGCAAAAAATACTTGTTCAGTGTCTTACGAGGTACTGTTCGGGTGCTGGGGATACAGCGGGAAACAAGCAAACCCTACCTTCAAGAGCTCCCGTTCTAGTAAGTGGGTAGGTAAGATGATAACTGTTAGGCAGAATAAATGAGGAGGCAGTACGCTAGAAGGTGGGGTTGTGGAAAATCTAGTAAAGCAGCTGCAGTTTTAAACAGGGTGATCCGGGTAGGCCAGGCGTGTAATTTACTATTAGAAAGTCTTTCCCGGCCCCTGCCGTCTCTCCAGCTTTACCTTCCATCAAAGCACCGCTCTTCCCAGTACATCATACATTCTCTTCACGCTTTTGTAACTGCTTGTTCTCTCTGCCTGGAATGCTGCTCTCCCTGCTCCCCAAATGTGGCTAACTCCTACTCAATCGTAAAGCTTCATCTGGGATATCCTGCGAAGGCTAGGCCAGGGTAGGCCTCCTCTAATTGATCTGCGAATGAATGAACCACGAACGGAGGAAGGAAGGAAGGAAGGCAG